CCTAGAACATTCTTTCCTCCACTTTCCAATTGTTAACTTTTAGTCCTCTTTCAAGTCTCAGGTCAAATAGCTTCTGAACATGCTTTCATAGTAATCTTCTATAATATTTATCACAGCTGCAATTTTACACTTGTTTTTTATCATCGGGCCTGATTTTGCAGTTCCTATTGGGCAAACTCAGGAGCACTAGTGGCAGAGTGGATTCGGTGTTGGGCTGCTAACGACAAAGGTCAGCAGTTCGAAACTACTGGCTGCTCCTTGGGAGAAAGACGAGGCTTTCTGCTCTGTCAAAATTCAGAGGCTTGAAAACCCACAGGGGCAGTTCTACTCTGTCCTAGTGGGTGGCTGAGAGTCAGAGTCGACTTGGTATCAGGGAGCTGGGTGTGATTCACCTGGCAGCCTAACACACTGCAGTTGTTTAGTAAACGGTTCCTGAGTGGATGGGTGCCTCCCTCGGTCCTTGAGCTCATCGCCCTGGCACCTCTCTAGGCCCTGCCTCCTCCAACATGAGGCCCTGGGCCTCATCACTCAGTGTGCACATTATGGTCTTGGGAATCAGAACAAGCCTTTGAGCCTTGCTCTGCTGTGAGCAGCTGTATACCTAGGGAGCTAACAACACCCTTACCTTGTCTACACAAAGGGAGATGCTCAGATCTAGCCCCTAAGAGGAAATCATGTTCCTCTGACACATAGGAAGAGCCAAATGAAAGGTAGATCTTAGTCTCCCTACCCCTGGGGCATTGGAAAGGAGCTCCTGGAAGCCAGGACAAGATGCTAAGGGAATGCTCCAGGTTCTTCCTTTGGAAGAACGCACACGTCCTGTTAGGATCTGTGAAATAACAAGCACTTTAGAGGCTGCTCTTTTTTTCCTTCTGGGAAGGCAGCCAGGAAAGAGCTGGGCAAAGCTGGGGGGAAGAAAAGATCTACAACTTTATTCTCTTAGGACATAAGCTTAGGAGGTAGCAGGAAGGAACGGGGAGATGCTGCGGGAGGAACTACCTCGGCAGCCAGGAGAGCAGCACAGAGAGGCGTGGCGAGATCATGGAAGTTTCCCCTCCTGGCATATGGCCATGAGATCTGAGCCTGCAGGCTGCCCCTCCTCTCCTTCAGCACCTCCCCTGCTGCTCCGACCAGTGTTTGAGGCCCACGAGGACAACTTAGCAAACACTTTCTGTATTCCAGACATTTGCTACGCACTTAGCTTGCTGCTCTTCTGTCCTCTCTACAGCAGCTTTGTCACACTGGTATAACTGCTCCCATCTTACGGATGGAGAACTGGGTTCTGAGCAGTGAGATGATTTGCCCAAGGCCACACAGCTAACGTTAATAGAGCCTGGACTCCAAAGCCAGCGCTCTAAGAAAAGCAAAGTGAAGCGAGGGGAGGAGTGGGGCAGAAAAGTTGCAGTTGAAGAGGAGAGACCTGACACACAGGAAGAACACTGGCCCGGCATGCAGGGGCCAGGCCAGAGCCGCTGAGGAGAGGGAAAGACAAGTAGGCGCCTGCAGGGAGAGGAGTTGGCCTGCAGGCTTTCCAGAAACTGAAACAGGCCCGACCTTAAACACTGTAGCAATGAGCACGGAAAGAGATCACATTAGCCGATCCTGGGCAGAATGGGAGAAAACAGTGGAACAAGCCTGCAAATCCTCAAGAAAGCCAGGCTTACTGGTCAGAGCGCACTGGGAGAGCCCCCAGGGGGAAATTGGCTCTTAGTCACCCTTCAGATCTAGAAATGAACTCACTCCTGTGGTCCAAGTTTAAAACAAACAACAGACAAGTCTGTGAGGGGACCAGGAAGCCTGGGGAGGTACACACACCACAGAATACTCAACATCTGAGGTCAAGGGGGCAGCACTTAGTCAGGGACCAAGTTCAGAAGGGTTAGGAAGAAGGGAAATGGATGGGGTAAGTGACCGTATGTAGTGGGAAGACAATTCAATAACCAGAAACAGTATGTGTGTGCACTGTTGAGTGAAAAAAAATTTGATCTGTAAACCTTCACCCAATGCACTCTAAAGAGTTGAGAAAAGAACATTATAGCAGTTATAATTCAAAATTCCGACTTAGATATCTAGAGTATTTGGATTTTAATCATTTATTCGGTGTGTGAAGGGGATGTCCTCCAGGCATGCCACCATCACAAGCCTGCACTGTTTTCTCAAGAGTCCCTGGGTGGGGCGGTGAACACCTGACTGCAGATCTACCCAGAGGCACTGCCAAACAAATGCCTGGGGATCTACTTCCAGCAAACCAACCATCGCAAGGGACTAATCTCTAAAATCTGTAGAAAACATTAACATCCCAACAAGAAAAAGATAAATCCCAATTTAAAATGAGCAGAAGACATGGACAATTCCCCCAAAGAAGACGTCCAGGTGGCCAGCACACACACATGAAAAAACACTTATAATCACTTGCCATTGGAGATGACCGATCAAAACAATGATGAGATGCCACTCCACCATGACATTGAGAGCAAAGATTAAGAAAATGAAAACCAGCGCTGTAGGGTGTGGACAGACAGGAACCCCAGACACTGCTGGTGGGGCTGTCAGGCTGCACCGCCAACGTGGAAGGCAGTATGGTGCCCCTTCAAACAACTGGGACTAGAAAGGAGAAATGGCCCAGCAATCCCTTTCCTTGGTATACACGCTAGCACACACAGATGTATGGATACCCATACTCATCACAGTTCTAGTTGCAATAGCAAAAAGGTGGAAACAACCCAAATACCTTTCAATGGCAGAACGGAGCTTCATACACACAATGGAATATTATGAATGATTAACAAAGGATGATGAAATTGTGAAACGCCTCGTGATATGGGTGAATTTGGTGGACATTACACTGAGTGAAGTTAGTCAATCACAAAAGGCCAAATATTGTATGACAAATATGAAACTACTGGTATAAAATGAAAAACCAAGATAAAGGCTTTTCATACCCAAAGAAAGAGATTTTGATGGCTGTCAGAGGTGGAGGGGAAGGAAGGGAATGCAGGGAACGGGTTA